GGGTTAAACCTCTACTTAGAGGAATCTTCCAAATTGTGTATATAAGCATTTGCAGCCCTAATTGATAGGACATAAAAATGCTTAGGATGACACTATGTTTGTTGGGACTCTTGATGACATTTAGAAATGAGCCTGGGAAAAATTTTCAGGTCTCCAAAGATACTTGAGGTCAATAATTTTTTTTTTTCCAAATTGAGTTTCAGGGCCAAATAATGCAAAATACCAGTATATTCAAAGATGTGTCCTGCTATCAAAAGCTAGTATCATAATGCTAGCTAAACTGAGAAATACATTGCAATATCCTTACTGTAATTTCTCATCAAGTTCTACAACTTTCTTCTTTAATTCCTGGTTCTCCTTGAGTGCAGTGTGAGCTGTGATTTCTGTTCTGATTTTAGAAGTGGAAAGTGCTGCTGACTCTTCTTCTAACTCCTGAACTCTGTCTCTCAAAGAGGTGAGGAGAGATGATTTTCTGGCACTATTTTCTTTGTAGCTCTCCATTTCGGCTTTCAACTCTTGACAGGAGACTTCTTTAGAAAGCATCTTGGATCGGAGGTCCCGAAGCTATCACGGAAAAAAAGTTAGAAAAAAAAATGGAATAAGAACTTAACAGTAAAAGCTTGAAGTATCTTTAAGAACCCCAAAACCCAAAACCCTAATTTAAAATTTCACTTTTATTCATGACTTAATCCAATTTTCTTCTTTTAAATATTTGTATCCATCTTACTAAATGGGAAATTATGCCTAAGTAATGAAATTCATATTCTGTCTCTTCCAAAAACAATTGTGCAATGTCTTATGTTGATTTGTGATGTATATCGCAAATATAGCCAGGAGACATTTGTGATGTGTATTTCAAAAAACAATAAAATATTTTGCAATGGTAACCCATTTTCTAAATCCATGTTGCTGCTATTGCTGCTGATGAAGAGTGAAACAAGGAACCTATAAGCTGTACTATCTGTGACTTCATAGCTGTTAACTGTTTCCCAAGTAAATGCAAACTATTCAATATATCGCCAAATTTCTCCCACTTGTCTTCTGGGCTCTACTTATGAGTCATAAAGAAAAATAATATTCCAATTTCTGGGAAAAATATGGGAGAAAATAGAAATCCTTATAGGATTTATACAAAGGAAGCATTTTAACTTTTATGAGTTCTGTGGCATCAAAATGCTAAACAATGTATGTGCCCTATAGAGTTAGGATGTCAGGTGTACCCTATAAGAAAACTTTATGAAAACATATACTTATTTAGAACTCTAAGTGTACATGTATACATTTATTCACACACACACATTATTGATTCATCTTTCTGTGGGGTCCTGGCAGCCTTAGCGAGACCTCACAGGCCAGTCTAGGATGCCTTGGGGCCACCAGACCATAAGCAGACCGAGTTTAGGGAGACTGTCTCAGAACTCCCTTCTAGACCGGATCTAACCTAGAGGGTAGATGGATCCCAATCATCTTCCAAGAATTTCCCCAACCAGTTGGCCCTACCACGGGGAAGGGGTTCAGAATTTCCTCCTAAGAGCTCCAAATTACAAGCAATCTACATTAACAGAAGGTATTCTGGGAAAGGCTAAAAGCTCTCCGAAGCCCATGGAGCATCAGCCCAAAGTCCTCAGGTGCCCCCATCTCTCAAGGCTGTCGCTCCTCTGAGATCTACAGTCCAGCCCCAGCCACTTTGCTTCGCAGCGTGGCAAATGCATAACCTTCCAGGAGTTCTAGGAGATTGGCACACAGTAAGGGAGTAAGTGTCGACTTTGCCGAAAGGTTTAAATCTGTATCCCGCCGTCCTGTTTCCAATTGCCTCTATGCCCTGCTTCATTTTATGAGAAGCCAGGAAGGCCCATTTCTGATTAGTGAAGACGCATAATCTTACCTCAGACTGAGCACATTCAAATTTGACCAAAGTTGCTGCAAGTTCACTTCGAGCATTTTCAGCCGCATTCCGATAGTGGTTTAATTGCTCCCGAGTGACCGGGACTTCCAGAAGATGATGGTAAGTTTCCTGGTAGAGTTCCCCAAAAGATTAAATAGAAAAAAAAAAGAGTGTTGAACAATCTTTTCTGTGCAGTTGTGCAAAGCGAGATCAAAGACAGAAGCATTCTTTGTATTCCAAATGTGTCAGAAAATACTACCCAGAAAGTGCCATTTTCAGATCATTTTGTTCTCATTCTCAACATTCAAAAGGAGGCAGGAGGCAGGCCAGGAACAAACGATGTGCTCCCCCAGGGTAACGGTGAGATTTAGCATTTAAGAATTGGCCTTTGCCATTGTAGAGACTTTCCTTCCACCCAACGCGAATGCTATTTAGCTCTGCCCAGAACCAGGAGAGTCAGAAGAGAATCAATGCTACATTCTGGGGCAGGGGGGCAGTTTTCATTGTTCTTCTGTTTCCAGACCACAAAGATGATCAGCTCTTCTCTTGTCAGTCGAATAAAGGGTCTCGTTTATACATCAAAGAGATCATGTGATCTAAACGTAAAAGTCTGTCTCCTTCATAATTATCCACTAAGCCTTTTATTCTCAATGTTATCACTTCTCATGGGGTCATGAAGTTGATTCAAACGACTGCTTGAGGTTAGAGACAGTGCAGTGGTTCAGGGCCAGGCCCTGGCCCACCCAGACGGAAGCAACTCTCAGTTCCACTGATGGTTGCTGGTGCAGAAATCAGGATCCTAGCCTGGCCAAATCATTCCAATTTTTCAAGACAAGCCATATATCCAGACTTTTTCAAGTAAAAATTCCCAGTGTTTGCAGCTTGGCAACCAGTTTAAATGTTTAAAAAAGAAACACATATGAGCCAGATAAACACACCTGCAGAGCAGATTTGCTGGATTTGGCCTGTGGGTCACAGTCGGCAACCTCTGGTCCTGTTGCCATCTGACTCAGGCCATATGTCTGCCTCCTTCAAGATTTCTCCCTAAGCTTGGACAGATACTTACCCCCACCTCTATGAAGTTTCCGGGGCCTGTGCTCTTTGTGAAAGACATACAAGAAAGCCATTCATTTTTGAAGGAATATCAAAGAGGTCACATAAAGGAGGATTTCCTGGAATAT